ACATGGAATACACACCATGTTCTGAAGTCTGAGCAATGTATCGATAGAGACTCGAAATTCTGAATTTACTCTATGTTCTGCATCTTTTCTGAGAACTACTAGGGTGGAATCGGCAGATTGAGTTTCTTTCATTCTTTGGATCAACTCAAATTGAACAGTCAGATGGGCCAAACATGTAACTTTCTTCAGGTTCTGAAGTCATATCTGTTGTGCGAACCCTATTATTCTGCATTCTGAAATCATTAGGTGAGCTAACATACCTGAATTTTTTCTGCTGAGTGCATCAGCTACCATATTGTGCTTGCCCGGGTGATACAAAATGTTGCAATCGTAGTCCTTGGAAGTTCTATCCATCGTTTCTAAGGCATGTTGAGATTCTTTTGAGTGAATATGTGTTGCAAGCTTTTGTTGTTAGTATAGATCTAAAAAGTCTCCCATTACAAGTAATGGCGTCAAGTCTTCAAGGCGTGGATAATCGCGGCAAGTTTTAAGTCATGAGTGGGATAGTTTTTATCATGACTCTTTAACTACTTGGACCCAGAGGCTATAACTTTCTCATGCTGCATCAGAATATAACCCGACCCCATGTAGGAGACATCAGTATAAACTGTATATCCATCTATCTTACTTGGTAAGGCCAACACGGGGGCAGTAATCAACCGCTTCTTTAGTTCTGAAAAACTCCTTTCACAATTCTCGTTCCACTCAAACTTGACGTTTTTCTTTCTGAGCCGAGTCTAAGGAACAGGTAAGCTAGAAATTATTCTATAAACCTATGGTACTAACCCGTCATTCCTATAAAGCTACGATCTCCTTGACCGATGTCAATTTCTCCCAACCAAACACTGTTTCAATTTTTTTTTTATTTACTGACACTTTATCCCTTGATATGATGTGCCCTAGGAAGGTAGTTTGCTCAAGTCAGAACTCATACTTACTCAACTTTACATACAACTTCTTTTCTCTGAAAACCTACAAAACATGAGTCAGATGGTGAGCATGTTCTTCTATGCTTTTTGAATAAATAAGCAAATCATCGATAAATATAATAACGAACTAATATAGGAATTGTCTGAAAACTCTGTTCATCAAGTCCATAAAGATGGCTGGTGCATTGGTTAGTTCAAATGACATGAGCAGGAACTCATAGTGTCTGTATCTGATTTGAAAAGCTGTCTTGGCAATATCTTCTCCTTTGATTTTTACCTGATGGTGACCTGAATGCAGATCTATTTTAGAGAAGATTTGGGCACCCTGCAACTGGTTAAAAGACCATCGATCCTGGGAATGAGGCACTTGTTCTTGATCATGACCATGTTCAATTCTGTGTAGTCAATACATAACCTTAACATCCCATGCTATTTCCTTATAAATGTGACTCCAGCACCCTAGGGGAACATGTTATACCGAATGAATCCATTATCCTTCAATTCATTGATCTGTTTTCTCAACTCTTCCATCTCAACACGACTCATGCGGTAAGGGACAACTGATACAGGCGGGATGTCCGGCTGAAAATCTATGGTAAACTCAACTTCTCTGTCCACTGGCAGTCTAGGTAGTTTATAAGAAAACAAATCCGAGAAGTCTCAGACCACTGAAATCTCTTGAATGCAAATTTTTTTCTTAGGTTTGCCTAGTGTAGAGAAAACAACCGAGTTAAAGTAATTTATAAAAAAGAAATTGCCATGAGGGAATGATATTTACAAATTTTATTAACTTATAAATGACTTTTCGTTAGGAGGCATAAATATAATTTTTCTCGTGGAAACAATCAATAGTGGGGTGATACGCCGCTAACCAGTTCATTCTTAGAAATACATCAAGATCCTCCGTGTCAATCTCTATCAGGTCCATCATGGGTAAAATAGAGTCTTGTGAAAGAGGAGTCAGATGTTGCTGGGGAGGGACCAGGTGGCCCTGTAACGGTGCCGGATGATACGGTTGGGGCTCCAAATTGTATTGTAACGGTGTCGGATGATACGACAGTGGAGCATGGCTGCATTGAGGTGGTGTTAGATCCTCTCTCTCTGGCCTACTAGGCAGAGATGAATCTCTTTAAAATCTCAAAGAGCCGATCGACATCCTCTCGAAGCGACCCGTTTCGGGCTGCTCTGTTCAGTAAGGGACCTCATCTCCTTGTGTCTTTGTACTTATTTTTCACAAGAAAGAGTTGGACGATAGTTCATATTTGGTGTTTTTAAGTTTTTGTGTCAAGAATGGTTCCAAAGAATGCGACTCTGATACCAACTGTAAAGACCCGGAACTTAAATAAAAAATAAAGTCATAAATAAAATACGGAAGCGAAAT